TTCATTTATCCATCATTTTGCTTTGGCCCTCAATGAGTTAAAATCTGAAGCTTGATAAAATTCCATTTGATACTTTCCAAAAATAAAATGATGCTTATTCCTAAAAATGAAAATCATCATTTAATTAAATCAATTAATTATAGATGACAGATTTTCCAAAACGCATTTAATTCTGCATAAGTGAAAGTAATACTGGGGCTTTGGGGAAGTTTTTTAGTCAATAAAAATTAAAATTTTAAAAGTTCCAATTTTTAACTGCACTAATTTTCAAAATAATTATTGCACTTTAATTTTACATTATATTTTACACCATATAAATGCAAATCATCAAAATCATTCTTTAATCTTCAATTCTGACCACATGTCTGCAACTCCTTTAGTTCTTCTTTACATTTAGGTAGTCATAAATCTTGTAAATATTTTCTTACCATAATGAAAAAATTGAAACTGAAGTTTTCCAAATTTAGTAGACATCAACACCAAAAATAATAGTTAAAAACAGTTTAAATTACCATTGATACAGTAGAGAACTGCCTTACATTTGGAAACAAGTTCTTTATAATGTTTTCCTCTCTTCAGCATAAATGTCTTATAAAATTTACTTGAAAATGTTAACAAAAAGGAATGAAGCCAGACGTGCTGGTGCACGCCTATAATCACAGCACTTCGGAGGCTGAGGCAGGAGTGCTGCAAATTCGAGCCCAGCCTGGGCTACATAGTGAGTTCAAGGCCAGCCTGAACTATGTAGCAAGACCGTGTCTTAAAAAAAAGAGGAAAAAAATGAAAGAGGGAGAGGGAGTAAGGGAACAATGGAGGGACGGAGGGAGGGAGGGAAGGAGGGAGGAAAAATGAAAGGCAAGGGCATCTTTCTATGAAACACCATTTAACACACAAGATTAACATTTTAAACCAGGTGTGGTGGCGCATGCCTGTAATTCCAGCACTCGGGAGGCTGAGGCAGAAGGATCACTGAGTTGGAGGCCAGCCTGGGTTACATAGTGAGTTCAAGGCCAACCCAAAATATACAAAATGTAGAATGATAAAAATAAAGAAATTTTTAAAGTTAGAACCACCTTAGTTATCGTTTATGAAGCTAGTGAGGTCAGGCTAACAATTGGCAAAGTCCACATAATACAGCTGCAGAAATGCTTGTTTTACATGGAAATTCTCAACATCTGCCAAAGGAAAGAGAAGAGATAACACTTTTGAACCATATTCGTAGATAAATAAAGGTCATGTCAAAGACATGGACATAATTCAAATCTGGAAGACAGTTAAATCACAAATGTATCATCTAAGATGAATTGGCTTTGGTTAGTAACTATTAATCCCTCAAGAGAAATGTTTAGAACATGACTTATTCAGTAAAGTTGCAAAGCAAAGTAGGAAGCAAAATAGTAAATGAACACTGAATTACATTATGATGGAGGGTGCAAATGTCACATACCAATGTTCAGATCCAAGAAGACCCTGAGAGTCCGTTACTGTGTGAGTTCATAGAAATGAAGAACTTACCAGTAGCTGGTCTGCGGGTCTGCATTCCACACTTCATAGTGCTAATAAAAATGAGCCTAATAAAGCCCTAGGTGTTACAGATCTTTCTGGCTTTAGCTTTATATGACAAATAGATTATTGTTGTTTCACATGAGAGCACATTGCTGAATGGACAGAATTTTGTGGAGAGTTTAATAGTACAAAATTGTAAAAAGAAAATAAAAATTAATGGCCCATTTTTTACATACTATTGGAAAAGTCATTCTGTTACTAGGTTGGGGGTCTTGTCCAGGTTCTTGATGTCCTAAAAAAGCACTGAGCAGAATACCTAAGAGTAGCAGCAGGATCCAAGATTTATTTGAAAGAGAAGAGACAAGATACAGAGGGAGCAAGCTGGTGAGAAGAGCTCATGCACTGAGGGGCTTGGTGCTGAGAGCTTTAAGCCTTAGGACTTAGGGTGGGGTTGAACATGACTCAGCCTCTCATCACCATGTGGAGTTTTTGACCTTTTGTCCAAAGCCCCGGAGGGGAGGGGTATCAAATCCACATAGTCAGTGACACACTAACCAGGGTTGCGGTTGGCCACAAGTTGCAGAAGACCACTGGGTGCATGCCCAGAGATTTATTGTGTGTAAGCTGTTATCTGGCTACCTTTTCCCGTTGTGTTTAGACCTGAGTATCCAGCTCTGGGCGAATGGCTAATTCAGTAGATGGCGCTACACCCAGAAAGCGGGCTCCCAGGTGGGCACTTCCTTTCGGCCCAACTGTTTCCTTGGTTACCGTATTATTCCTCAGCTCTAGCACAGAAAGCAGGCTCCGGAGAAGGCTGACTGTCGTTCCTTCTCTAGCCTGTTCCGTAGCTTTCCTTGTGTGCCAGAGCATCTGAATGTACATACCTCATCAAAATGGGCAGAGACCATGTGGAAAAAGACATTTAACGTTTACCAATAGAATTTATTGATCAATCCTTAGTAAAGTGAAATTAAACACAGTTCACCAAGGATGTTTCATGGGTATTTAATATGGATCCTAGAGAACTATTAGGTTTTGAAGCACAGCATACTTTATAAAAATCCTTATTATTTTAGGAGACTCAATATGGAGGGAAAAAACTACTTGCTTTATCAAAATAAGTGAACTTTACATTTGTTATTGAAAGAAAAAAACTGTTACTAGCTTTAAACAATGATCACTTCCTTAATTGCACATAAAGCAGATTGTCAAAATGCAGATAAATAGTGAGACATCAACAAGAGCAAAAGCAATAAATACCCTCCCATTTGCTGTCAACTGCTCCTTAATAGTAAGTAACACAAAAATGAAGAGGTCATATTCAAAGGACTTTGGCCAGGAATTATATGTAGCAATTTCAAGCACAAAAACCTGATTTAAAAATAAATATATTCCTGAAAGCATACTCATAATCCTCTTTAAAAATCTAGAAAAACATTTTATTTGGAAGTTTTATACAAATTGAATATATATAGTCTTTCTGTTTCTTTGGTACTTTTGTTATATAAGAAAACATGATTATTTTTACCAATGCCCATATATGACATCTCCCAAGTCCCTTAACTGTACCCCAGTACACCACATACCTATGATCATTTTCTGTGTGTGACACTGACAGGAAGTCTGACAAACCCTGTGTGTAGCCTGGCAGTGCTGAATACAGAACTATTCAGATTATATGTAGTATATTTAATGAGGCTCAAGATGCTTTCATTCAAAAATAGTGAAAAGGGGCTAGGAAAACAGATTTACATAAAGCCTATCTTTACAAAATAGTTTTGAAAAATAGAGTTCCATGTTTTTTAAAGTTAAAGTACAAAACTGAAGAACTCTTAAAGTAAACAAAGTGACCAAAAATGATAAATTTCAATTTCATGCCACAATTGTAATTTATCCTTACCTTGAGGAAATATCAGATATTAAAAGCCAAATAACTACTTCATATACTAATGTGAATTAATTCTTTTAAAGATAGAGTTTTATTGAGGAATGGGTCAGTTTGTCTCCCTTTTCTTCTGTTCTTGTCTTGCTGATTTCCATCAAAACATGTTTGCTCAGTTGAGCTAAAAATGACAGTTTTCCACTACACTCTCTAAAGGTCTCCCACAAGGAATCGTCCATGGAATCCAAAAGCAAGCACACTTTTGTCTTGGGAAAGGTGCTACAGGATCCCTAACCCTTCACAAATGACACCCGACCTTGAAGCTATCATCGAATATGAACAGGTAAAGATCAGAGATAGGCACCAAGATGGAATATACTGAGCTATTGTCCCAAAATATGTCTCATCACACTTAGTACCAGTTATATAGTATTTTCATTCCAAAAAGCATGAAAGTAACATATTCACAATAATAATGGGTCAGCAGCAAATAATTTCTTCAGAGGGCAGGGGAGGAAAGGCATCTATCATGTAGGCTGCAATGATAATAAAACCCTCATAAGCAATGCCTTGAGATATTCAATTTACAGAAAAAAATTGAAACAAAATATTTCAAGTCAATAGGAGTGGTTGGAACATGAGACTTTTACAATAGCAGTAGCAATAATAATTATTGCTATTATAATTAAATGCTATCATACCATTTTTATAATAAGAGATATCAGAGACAGTGTATCTCCAAATCTTTTGAGACCTAAATGTGGGGTCTGCAGAAAACCTAAACTTATTGAAGTGTCCCTAATATTAATTAAAAGCTAAAATGAAAACCTCAGCCTACACAGCAGTGTCTAAGGCATCAAAATCATGTATTAAATTCTATACTCTCTTTGGTTATCTTCCTTAATTCCCATCCTGAAAAAAATAAATGAATTCACAACATAAAAATCAGATACATTGTATCTGGCCAGAAAGTAAGTATTACTAAGTATATTAAAAAGTCTACCATTATGTATGCACTCCGAACTATTAACATAACTTTGAATTCATATACAACTTAGAAAACTAAACATTTAGGAAAGGCAATAATGATACAAAGTATACTTTACACTCAAAATCATGAGTTACCCAATATAGTTTTCAAACTGTCAGTAAAAGACCAAATGCAACACAAATACACTGCATATAATATTTTGAAATTAGCTTTAAAATATCACATGGAATTAACATATTCCAAATCATCAGATGATTGAGTTATGCAACAGTTAATTCAAACCAGAGGCACAGTAAATACTCATATACAGTATAATACAGACATGTAGCAATTATAAATATATTATGCTAAACAACTTTAATTTTTGCTAGTTAATAAAGAATCCCTTTAAGTCATTTTTGGCATGGTGCTAAAGGCTCTGTCAAGACTGGGTGCAGGGCGTTGCTTATTCAGAGTTCTCAGCACGTAGCCCTGAGGCTTCAAGTAGATACACAGTTAAAATGTAGGTTTGTTCATATATTCTTCCATTGTCTGAAAGAGAACAATGAATTAGAACAATTTTCTCCTTTAAATCACATCCTGTTGCACACAGTGAAATCTTTTTCATTCTTTTATTTGTACTTTTTTTTTTTTTTTTGCTATTCCGGAGAAGGTTTTCAAAAGCATATGTGGACATAAATATTTGCATTCTAATCAAGAAAGGGGGTTCAACGTTTGACTATCATTTGTACACACAACCATATGGCTGAAACTATATATAACTTTCAACTGAGAAAAAGCTAAGTTTGGTCACAAAATGATTATTTTATAAGAGAAATGCAAAAGCAGCAGCTGCCAACATGTGACCGTTGATTTAAGATAAATGTCTGCTAAAGTGACCACAGAGATCACATTCAGGCACAGGCACTAGAAAAACCTCAAGTGAACTTGTACAACCTATGTCTCCTTTCCTGTATTGTGCAGAATATCTTTATTACATGATTCTGAAGAATTTCTGGTATGTGTTTTGAAAAGGCTTTCCTCAAAAGTATATAAAAATTGTTTCTCCATCCTATTCATCAGTTTCCAAGTTTGCTAACAAGCCACAGGTCATTTTATTTATTTATTTATTTATTTTTTGTTTTTTTTCTGGTACCAGGAATTGAACTCGCGACCTTGCGCTTGCCAGGCAGGCACTGTGCCGCTGAACTAAATCCCCAGCCCCCATTTTATTTTTTGGCGCATTCAAAAAGATTCACAATTGCAGCTGTTTGAAAAAGAGCAGTTACACAGAGATGGCGCTTTCTCTTACACTGCCTCCTACTACTGGCACATGTGTTTGTGCAACACCATGGCCGCAGGTTCAATCAACAGAAGAGAGGTCAAGGGGGCTGCCAGTTACCCGTAGCAACACCCTGCCTCTGCCACGTGAATCAGCAGCAGCAACTTTAGCAATCAAAGCTTGACGTGCTCCTAGACTTAGACACCAGTGTATGGCACTCCCGTGAATATCCCAGGAAACACTGACACACACGCTAAAGGAACCAAGGCCACTGGCTATGCAAGATTGCCTAAGGGAAACCAGGGCTATGAATCAGTCCTTTTAACTGCTTTTGTCTACTTTCTTTAGAATTCCTGGGCTCTATGACTCAAAAATCTTATACTCAGTCATCCACAGTTTCTTCTAAAGCTCTGAACCCTCTCAATGAGTGCTGGCCCAGAGGAGCTCACACCCCTAAGACTTCTCCCCTGTACTCCCGAAAGGTGCCACCTACGTTTATTAACTTATCAGGGTGTCACACTGGCCAGAGCCCACGCTAGCGTTGTGGCACCTACAGCTCATGCCATTTTAAAAAGGAACACAAAGTTATCAATACAAAACTAGGCATAAAGTTTATTATGAAGAGTTTATTATGAAAAGTTAGAGTGAAAGTAGAAATGACAGATTACTAATATTTAAAACAGCACAAATATCACAAAATCCAGAACAACAGCATTTTATTTTCATTACCTAAATGCTTGACTCTCGTTTATAATATTGTATGCTCATTATATGGCTTTTAAATTAACATATCTGACTTTTGCAAATTTGACTAAAATGTATAACTCTCTGAGCACAATGCCAGGCCATTTCTGCAGCCTTGAAGAAGCCTGGGTCAGTCAGAGGCCCCGTGATTCCGGCTGCTAAACGCTGTACTGACTGCCTGTCTGAGCATGCATGAACCAGTAAGAGTTGGTATTTTCTTGAACTGGCTACTTGAAAGGTTTGGAACAGACTTTTTTAAACTGACACAAATTAAGAAACTCTGCCCTCACTTTCCCAGGAGGAAGGCTGCGAGTGTGTCCTGCGGCTCCTGGCTACTGCTAGTACTGGGATTTTCTTATGTATTCTGCGCCGTGCAAGTGATCACTCTCTACTGCATTATGGTTTGGCTTAGCTGTTAACATGGTTTATGCTTTGAAAGGTAACAGTGTTGGGGGTGCATCAAGTAGGTGCCTATGCATCCACACATACATAAGCTTCTGAGGTACTGCTTGATCATCCCTTCACAAACTGTGTAAAAGATTTGCTGATGGCTGCCCCCACTGGTGATTCTAGGAAGTGCAACTTCCGTGGTATTCTATCCCTTCTCAATTTTTTTCCTTCTAGCTATGTCACCTTCCATATTGTTGCTCCTCCCCCCCAAGTAAGTCATCCCCAATCAATCAAGCCGTTTCTCCCCTATTATCAACATCTAGCAGAATACACTTCGAGCATCTAAAGATTTGAGAATCTGTTTCTTCACACTAAATATGTAGAGACTGCTTTTTATTTCTTTTTTCTCCCCCCTCTGAAAATTTATCAAGTGAAGACTAAGGAAGGGTTCAGGGTTACTACAAAGTTTGCAGCTAGGGGTTGGGGATGCAGCTCAGTGGCATGAGCGCCTGCTTGGCAGGCACAAAGTTGTGAGTTTGATCCCTGGTAATGCAAAAAAACAAACAAGAAAAAAACAACCACAAAGTTTGCAGCTGTTTGAAAAAGGAAGGCAATGTCACTCCTTAACCTAGAGGAACTAAAAAGATATGTTTAGGTGCAAAGAACTGAAAACAAAGAAAGCAACAATAATTTTTTTCCTTTCTGCACTTGTCTCGTTTTCTTCCACTGATTCTCAATTTTCTCAAGCACACTATATATACATTCAGTTTCTCAACACGTTCCCCAAAGCGTTTTCTGACTTCACTGAAGTAGGCACCAGAGCCCAAAACGAAAACTGTAACATTTTCTCTATTTGGGAGGTGGTGTTCATTCAAGGAGAACAATTTAAGGGCAGCCATGACATTCCCTGCTCCATCCCCAGAAAACTGAACCCACAATTGTGCTGAATCATAAAAGAGCTCTCCCCTGAAATTCCTGTTCCCCAGATTTTGGTGGAACTAGAAACTGGATTCATTGTAAGCTCTTTAACACTCTATGTTTATCAGTGTGCGGTTAGAGGTGGATTTTAACATAAGCCAGGGGTGTCTTGGCCCAAAATCAGGAAGCTTTCATTATTGGAGCACCAAAGACCCTGTGAGAAGTCTGTTTTCTCCAACAAGATTCCATGTGAAAGACCTGAGGAAAGCGTTATAATAACTTCAACCACCAACACGTTTTAAGAAACACTGTTCTGCGGAATTTCCAAACCATTGATTTCTCTAGTGCCTTGTAAAGTCTTCTTCCTGTAGCATTTGGAGAGAGCCAGGTAAATATCAGAGTTCAAATGCATTTTTGAGGGAGAACACCTCTAGTAATGAATGTGTTGGCCTTCTAGTAGGCCCCCAGAGCTGCTTACAGGGTCCCACTCAAATCTATGTCTGTCTTCCTGTCCACACACCTGAGGACTGAGCCCTTGCAGGGGCAGGACAAAATGCTCAGCTCAAAGAGGTCCCAAGCAGTTGCTGGGAAATCATGCCCAATATTGTTTTATTCATTTAACTTTTTATTTCCAAACAGCAGGAAGAATGCCTTTAACACCAACTTTTAAAAGGTATTTTATAAAGCTCTGCCTCCCCTTGACTTACTGTTATGAAAGAGGCAGGTGGGAAGACCTACTGATGTTGTGGGAGAAGCACCTAGTGCTGACAGAACTGGGGCAGAATCCAGAGCTCCAGACTCACACCGGAGCTGCGGAGGACATAGGGAACTACTGTAGCCTACATTCCCCAATCGGGCATGATGCTAGTCCAAAGCTGTTCCTAAAAGAAAAGTCTCATGACATTTTATGCAAGACTCACAGAGAGTCAGGAGCAATACCAAAAGTATGATTCAGGGCCATTTATAGCTCTGCAAGCGAGCCATGGTGTTTCCAATTTATTTATGCAAACAGGAGCACACACAGCCTTCCCGGGAGGTGTAAGAAATTTTAATTAAAATGATAAATGTCATCTTCAATAAAAAGCTCTAATATTCCCAGTAAATGAATAACTATGTATTGCTATTCTCTTTTCCCAGGGCAGCACAGATATTTTAATGACAGTCCTTTTATACAGCTCATAAAATTACTTTTGCAAAATTAGCACTAAGCATTTGATATGTTTTTGATGGTGAGCTATCTTCACTTTAAAATCTCAGTCAAACAGGATGGGAAAAGACTCAGGACCCAATTGTTAGGGTTCAAATCTCTGTCTCACATCTACTAACTCTGCAACTGAGCAGGTCACTTAACCTCTTTTTGACTCAGTTTGCTTATTTGTAAAATGGGGTAACAGTACTACTTACTTCTTAGAGTTGCTGAAATAATTAAATAAGCTAATACATGTAAATTGCTTAGGAAATATATCTAGCACAAAGTACTCTCTGAGTGTTGGCTAATATATTTCTTTCATCATCATCATCATCATCGTTATTGTTGTCATCATCTTTTCCAGGGTATAGGAAGTTGTACTGACCTCTTGTAACATGTCAGACTCTTCAATGGCTTTAACAGCAGTTTTCTTAGATGTTTCCTGAACTTCTCCACCTATTATAAATTCATCAAGGATAAAATATGCCTTTTCAAAATTAAAGATAATATCCAGCTCGCAGACCTGGTAGAACAAAAGCAAATGTTTTGATAAACTTGCAGGAGCATTAGCAGAAACACTCACCAGTATCTCCAGCTTATGCAACAGTTGCACCCCTGTAACATACTAGATCTAAAAAATATCTACATTAGTCACTTTCCCATGGAAGGGATAAAATATGCAACATTCACAACTTAAGAGGGGAGGTTTATTATGGCTTATGGTTTCAGAGGGTCCGGTTCATGGTTGGCTGGCTCCACAGCAGAAATGGTGTGTTAGCAGAGGAAAACTGCTGTACCCCTGACAGCCAGGAAGCAGGGAGGAAGAAAGGGTCCAGGAGCAAAAATATAGCTTCCAGCTCAGGCCCCAGTGACCCATCTCCTTCAACCAGGCCCCACCTCCTAACGGCACATTCAACTGTGAACTCACCAATGGAGTCATTCACTGTTGAGCACAACATCCCATGATCCAACCACCGTCCCAAAGCCCTATCTCTGAACACATGAGACTTTGGGGGGACAGTTTAAACCAGAAAATCCAATCAAGTAAAATCACATTCTATTAAAGCAGAGCAGGTCCTTAGGTAACAAAGTTTTATACTGCGAGAAGATATCTGAGGCTCCATAGAGGATCAAGGCAGCTGGGTCCTGTATCCATCTGCACAGAGGGACACTGGCCCCAGCCGTGCTTTGCAGGCACTTCTGCCCTCTGGCCTGGAATTTTTCTCTTCACTTTCAGTTCATTCAGAAGTTCACTCTTCAGAGGCAAATCAGCTCTATTGTGCTATTTTTTCTCAAAATTACACCACTGGCTAGTGGTTCTCAAACTTTAGAGTGTCATCAGCAGACCCTAAAACACACACTGTGATCTCTGTCCCCAGGCATATAAAGGGTCAGACCCAAGAGTCCACACCTCTAATAGATTCCCACATGATGCTGACACTCAGATCAGCGGTCAAGCACCACTGGCACAGGTCACTGCCTCGGGCACAGCCTGAGAGATGCTGGTGTGGCAGGACAGCACATGACACGGCCAGTTCCCCATTCCAAACAAGGCTCACTCCAGCGCCTCCACCAGACAGCACTTCGGGTGCTACCTGTGCTGTCTTCCTCCCTCTCAAGCCTCAGCAACCCGCTGACACCTGACTTTCCCTTCGCTTACATAGCCAACCTGCCCACCTGATGCTGCTGTCTTTGAGTTGGCTCACTGACGGTGGTCTCCCGCTGCCACCGCATTTACCTCTCTGCAGCCTTTGACACTACCCTCGGGTCTGTTTCTTGAAAATAACTTCTCCCCTGGTACCTGGCTATAGCAACAGCATTTAATGCCTGCTCTCTTCTGCCCCCTCTGATGATCCTTTTGGGCTCTTTGGATGCTTTTCCCCACTTCCTAATACCCTGCATTCTTTTTAAAAGAAACTTCTGGAGTGCAGGGACAAATCAGTCAGCAGAACCTCTCTGCCACATCCTGGCCATGATCTTCTCCTTCAGTGCTGGTGTTCCTCATCACAGCCTTTTCTCTGCTGTAGACACATTCTGCTAGACCATCTCCTTGGCTCTCACAGCTGCGTCCAGCATGCAGGGGCTCAATAAACTTAGACGTCTACCCCTGATCTCCACCTGAGCATGAATCCAGGGCTTTCTCCTGTTGGTGTCCCTACCTGGATACTCCTCAGTCCACATCACCATGTACCAAACAGATCTCAAGCTGATTCTTTTTCCTTCCACCCTTATTTGCTTTGCAGCCACAACTTCTTTCTAGTTGCCCAATCTACTTAATTCTAGAGCTCATCTTGTTTTCTCCCATCCCTGGTCTTGTCTTCTAGATTTGGTCACTAGGGTCTACTAAATAAATCTAAATAAACAAATCTCTGCCCACCACCTAAATAAATCTCTGACCCTTTCCCTCCTCTCTGGCTCACAGCTGCTGAGGCCCGTAGTACCTCATACTGGCGCCCCTGTGATGACCTCTACAGAGTCTGCGCTAGCTCAAGGGCATCAGTCACACACTTGGCTAAACTGCTGATCTTGTTCCTCTCCTGTGTGAGGTCATATGTTCATGACAAAGTTTAATTCTTCAGCATGGCTTATGGGAATTGCAACAACCTAGGGCCAGGTGCCGGCCTCTGCTTTCCTGTGCTAGCAGTCATCCCACACTACAGCCACATGCCAGGAATTTGCCGTTTAGGTCTTCATATTGGCACATTCTAGCAACTCCTGGGATGTTTCCGGAATGCCCTTTCCTGTATATACCTACTAGCAAAGCCAAGCTCACATTTCAAAGCCAAATTTAAAAGTCGCTGGACACAGTGATTCTCCAAATCCTCTCTGCCTCATTCAGATTTCATATCATGCCCTCTAGGTTCTCACTAACCTCTGGATCACCAAGCACTGCCCTGAATTCTGAGCTCAAGGGAGAGACCTTGCCTTAGTCGCCTTTAGATCCCTGGTAGCTGGCACATGGTTGGGAGTGATAACAATGCACACAATGACTACAGAGGAAGTGAATGAATCCAGCACCGCATGGGCTTTGTTTCTATTCTGCTGGGGACTGAGGGTCTCCCAGATAATGTTCTGATCCTATTGAATGCTATAACTTTATATAAAATTGATGTCAATATTTTAGCAAATTGCTCTGTATATTTAGGGCTTAGGTCAATAAACTTGCAGACTCCACAGCATGGAAGATGGTTTATGCTGACAGATCCAATTGAATTTAGAAGCATGTGGACAAATGAAAACAATATCGTTGGAATAAACGGCCAGCTCAGAAAAGCTCATCTGGCTCATTTGCAAAGGCTACCGTCTTTTCAGTCACTACAAAGCAAAAGAGCATTAAATCAACAATAAGCAGATAGAGAGGTACGTAGGTAGATAAACAAACAGAGAGACAGACAGCGACAGTTACGTCTCCTCCTTCCTAACGTTAGGCAGCCACGTTAGATAGAAATATTATAGGGAGTCAGATAGGGCTAGGCCCTCAAAGGAGCCAGAATGGAAGACAGAAACCTTGCAACTGTGGGAGAGACAGGCACTGCTGGGGGCCCGACCTCAAGACAAAAGATGAAAGAAATATACCCACATCCCTCCCTAGGGATGGACATCAGGTATTGATATTCTAAATAGGCATCAATCACCTTGAAAAAGCCAGGAGGAGTCACTAGCCCAACCCCCTACAGGAAAAGCCCCTGCTCTGTATTCACGCCCACTTGCTAAGTGACTCGCTTCCCATATGATCCTGATTTAATCAATTTTACCTGAGCAATTATACTCATAATCTTATTGATGACCATAGGTTTGTCCCACCTCATGCCCACCTTGTGATTTCCCATTTTTCCCTACCTTGGATGCCCCTCATCTTATGGTTTTGCTCTATAAAAATCCCTAAAAAAATCATGTTTCTTGGCAACCACTCAGGTCCCCTTCTGTCTCTCTCTGCGAAGGAACCTTCTTTCCCTCAATAAATATATTCTGCTCTTAACCTCCGTTGTTCCAAAATTCATTCTTTGATTGTAGAGGGCATGAACATGTCCCAGATATCTAGCAGGTTGGAAGCTTCTTTCCCCTATATCAATAAGTACGTCTATATTCACACACATACATACATGCACACACACACATACATATGAGGCTATAACGAGAACAACACTTTCCACACAAACGCTTGGAGAGATCAGAACACAGTGGGCCATGTATCACTACCAGCAAGGGTAAAATCACAGCAACAAACTGGGGAAAATGGTTGGAACATATAGAAAGAAGGTGGATGGCGAGGAAGGAGATGACACCTATGATACAGGAAGAATTCTTGCAAATCTCTTAAGATAAACAGCACCTTAGGAAAACAGATAAAGGCTATTACAAAATGATTCACAGGCAAAAGATGAAAGAAAGTGGCCAATACACACCTAATAAAATGTGCAGCTTCATGAGTAGTCAGAGAAATGAAAATCTAATTAATGTTGAGCTGAAAATTAAAAGATAATATCAATTTCTGGTGATGGTACAGACCAATATGTATTTACACTCACTGTTAGTAGAATTTATAAATTTTGTAGAATATTTAGGAGGGTTAAATTGTATTTATCAATTTTAAATGTAAAGTTTTGACCCAACAATGCCACAAGGAATTTATCCTCATGCTATATCGTTAGTGCACAATAATATGCAGTATATGAATAGCAAAAATTATAGAAGCATCATTTGTAATAACAATTGGAGACAAGCCAAATTCCATCCCTAGGAAACACTTTTTGGGGGAGGGGGAGTACTGGGGATTGGACCTAGGTCTTTTGCCCTGAGCTACACCCCAAGCCTTTTGCTATTTTTCATCCTGAGACAGGGTTTAAGTCACCCTGGCTGTAGAATTGTTTAAATAAAATTTGCATACTGCCAAAATGGCATGGGAATTCTATGAAGAATTTGGGAAGAATGAAAATTTACATGCACAGGTGCAGAAAAAGCTTCAAAATAGACTTGTGAGAAAAAGAAAGAAAATTGCAGAATATGCAGAATACAATCGTATTGATTTAAGTTTTTTAAACAATATACACCTAGCAGGACATGAAAAATTTACAATATTTTGAAGCTTTAAATAACATAAGTAAGTAAAAAAAAAAAAAAAAAGGAATTGCAGATTAGACATCCAGGCACATGAATAAAGTGGAAGTCAGCAGTTAGCAGAGATCAGGAGTGGCGGAGATCAGGACTTAGAGCAGTGAGAGTGGATAAACCTCAGAATTCAAGATGGGCATAGACCAGGCGCCCAAGACAGACGGATGCCGCATTAGGACAAACCAGCAATCAGAGTGCTGCAGAGTGGGCCTGACAGACACCTATGCAAGCTCTCTAGGAACTTTTTTACACCCCACTCTTGAGAGCAGAACCCCACTCCCGTGCCTGTAGGCTCTTCCAGGAGCCATGGGATCATTAATGTACTGCAACTAGTTTCAAGGGATAAGAATGGGGCAAGGGGGCACGCACAATCGAAACCACACATGCATACATGCGATACACAGTCACTGCCTTAGATTGTGAAGAGGAAAAACAGCATGAGATCCAGTGGCATTGTTGGAACTGATACAGTGAGGAAATATTTTGTTTACAACAACTCCAAAGTGCCACTCTATGGCTATTCTTTGATTCTAACTCGACCTCAGAATAAAAAGCGATAATATCCCAAGCAAAATTCAGGTTTCTTCAGCTACTGCTTAATTATTCAAATCCTTCTAAATTCTACCTTAATGTCCTTTCCCAGGAAATAAGAACTTTGCCCTTGATGTTCAAAAGACCCTGCTCCATCTAATAATGTACACACAGGTGGCTTCCTCCTCCGTGCACCACGTTCACAAACACATGAACCCCTTCACTCACATTGTCCCATGCATCTAGAATCTGGAATAAAGCTTACAAACGATCCTGCCTTGTGTTCCACTATAACACGGCCTGAGTTCTTCTTGGACAGCAGAATATATGCTGCGATGAGATTATTTCTGGCATTTCACCCACTAAGTCCTTTTGGATAGAGTCTAAGAAGCATTCACCCTTAACTGAATTCTATTCTAAATATAAAAGTTGCAAACTACATTCAGAAACTGCATCAGATAATAGGAAATTACATAAACACTATAAAGGTGTATATAAAATAAAAAGAACTGTTATGCAACACACAAGTATACAGCAAGGAACAGTTCATAAAATTTTTGCTATTTACTCTCTCTTTGACCCACACACCAGGCCCGTGAGGTGAGCAAAGCAAATATTCCTATTAACCTTTTGTGAGTGTCATTTTTCCCATCTGGAGGTAGAAGAAAGGTCCCGAGTCACGGGTCTGCTTAGTGCGCAGGCTGAAGGCAGGATCCCGCAGGATTCACAGTGCTCCTTCTCTTACGGGAGAAAATCTGTCTACATCAAATCTGAAAATTCCCTGGGACGGCAACATCCACACACTCTGAGTGCATCAGTAAAAATTCACATTGCACACAGTCTGTGATGGAAAATACAGCAGGTATCTAAATCCTCGCACAGACCCTTATCTACTGTATGACTCTGGGACATTTCTTAGCCTCTAGAAATTGGGGTTAATGCTACTTACTGAAGATTGAAAGATTAACTAGTTAATCCTTATAAATCTCTTTGGAATTGAAAAGTGCTAAAAAAAATACCGAACAAATTAGTAACCAGAGATTTTGATTTATCCGTCTTCAAAAGATAGTATTTTCCCGAGTTAGGGGAAAATTTTCCCTAGGATAATATAAGGGTAGAATTCAAGGAAACCTTTGGTATTAGCACAAGATAAAAAGAAAACCAAAGAAAAATATACTCCTGAGACGATGTCAATGAGACTCACACTGGAAGCCTTTGCTCATCTCTGTTAATTAATAAGAACTGAACACCTACGGGGCATAGAGCCTTGGAGTGCTCTTAGCTGCTCTTAGCTTAATGAAAGTTTCATTGAATTTTTTTTGTAGTAAATTAAATTGTGGCCCATGACAAAGACAGAGCTTCTAAAGGTACATCAGAATGGGATGAAAAGTCATGTGAGAGAAGTAGGAATTCATTCTGAGTCTCCTTATGCTTTGGGCTTTCATATTGGTAAAGGTTCATCAAATCTTCTCAAGTAAGGTGCCCTGAGATATCTGGTTGAATTTTGCTTAGATACATTGAAATCAAAATACAGCCTCACTTCCTGTTTTCACTGGTTGTTTTGTTTTGTTTTGTTTTGTTTTAATAGAGGAAAACAGAACAGGGAAAATCAGCATTTAGAAATCAGTGGAAAAGGCAAGTTATGGGGAAGCTTGGACTTCATAAAACCCCTCCAGGCCCTTGCAAAAGGCTACCTCTGTAATTTATTTTAAAGAAAAGTACCAAAACATCAGAATTCATTTGAATGAGAGAAAGCGTTTAGTTTAAATAATATTACATGTGAAAATGTGCTGGTATACATTTGCAAATTTCTTTTAAAAGAAAAACTTGGTGAAGGAGGAAAAAGAAAGAAAAGATGGCATAGCTATCTTATCACTTGCATATATCAACCACGAACTGAAATCCCTGCTGTAGCATTTCAGGTCTTACTTAACGAGGGAAAAAGGCAGAGGGCAGCAGAGAAAATTCTTTTATAAACCCTTCCAGTGCTCATCCTTCTGAAAATTGTTGGAACAAATCTGATAAAACCACAACCAATACCTCTAAGTCTGTTCCTTCCATGACGAGAACACAAAAAAATCCCTTCTGAAGGCAAATTTTCCTAACACTTGATAAAATTTCACTTGAAAAAAAATTCACTTCATTTAAAAAAAAATTCTTCAGTGAAAGAGGAAATTGGGCAGAAAATATTCCTGAGAGGGAAACTGTTTTCCAAATCCAAGGACTTATTTCTTGAAATGGTGAAATGGATTAAATGTTTCTAGAGTATCTGCTAAATCTGACTCAAAAGAGGTCACAAGTGGCAGGGAGAATAACAAGTTGCAGGTCACGATCTCACAGACTTGTGCCTTGGTGGCCAGGCAGCTCTGTGTCAGTTAGGGATGCTACTCACTGACCCAAGCCTTGGAGCACTGGCCATAGTGCTCTGTGAAGAGGGGAACAGGGTGGGAGGTTGATCTGGGACCAGTGTTTTGAAAGCGTAAATCCCAGCCTAAGAGGTTTGAATTTTATTCCAACAGGTGATCAAGTGACTGTGAAGGAATGCCACAGCTAGACCTGTGCTTGTCCGAAAGATGGTAAGTAACAGGCCATGAAAAGAACCAGAAAGAGTCTATGGACAGAAAGGGCCAAATATAAAAGTTAAAAGAACAGCAAAATTGAAATTCCATACTGGTAAATCTATACTAGGGACAGTAGAAAGAAAGAAGATGAATTTTAGTCTAATTTGAATAGACAAAAACAGATTCTAGTAACGGGAAGAGAAAAGACAAAAGAAACTGTGTCCTTTTGCACAGGAGGATCCCATAATATAAAATTCCAACAAGATAGATCAGATTTTCAAAAGATGAGTCTGGTTCTGCACCTTGAGAAGCTCAGTGAAGACCATCACCAAGGAGGACAAGAGCCATCTGGAAAAGGGTTCCCAGAAGAAAGAGTCAGAGGTCACACCTGGAGGGGAAGAGGAGAAGCAAGACATTTAAAAAATAAGAGGAGGAAGGGAACTTCCCAGGAGCAGCCTCCAGATTCATAGGACAGGACTGCAGTGACCAGTGTCACAGCAAAATGAAGTGGAGAGAACTTAAAGAAAGCTGTGCTGAGCAACAGCGCAGGGCTGCAGAGAGGGAAAGTGTGAGAAATGTCAGTAGTTGGACCCGTAGGAGGCCTCGGCGGTAATGTGACCTCCTGGGAGCCCTGAAGCTGGGACCCATTTCTAAAGACTGGGACAGCTGTAATATACTATTGGCATAGTGCGACCTGGAAGCCAGCGCAAAAGAGATTATAGAAGAGCAACAGGAAGGGATTATGATCTGAGAATTTTGTTTGCAATTTTTTCCTTATGTATTAATAATATTAAGGGATATTTGTAGCTTAGGGGAAAAGCCAGAGAAGAGATAAAAATTCAAAATAGAAAAGAGATGACAAAGCCCATGAAGAATAAGAGAAAGAATAATCAAGAAATCCTTCACAATTAAATTTGGGTTCACTGAAATGAGGTCTCCAGTGAGTCTTTGCTAATGCACATTGGGAAAAGAGCCCATATCCTGACCCAAGATAGAGAAGCACAGTCATTGTACAAATGTAATTGTTATTTTTGACTCAGAGAGAGAAAGAACTGAGAGATGGAGCTGAAGAGCTGAGATGAAGATTGTGACTGATCCTAAGAGACCAGCAGAACACTTACATTTCCAAAGTATTTGTCCAGCAACTCCACATAACGATGCACAATCTCTAGTGTCAAGAGCTCATTGTCTTGATTTTCTATTGCACAGCAAAAATATAAACTAGCATACCTTGAAAAGAAAAACATAAAGAAAGCAAATAGGATGAGACATTAAACAACCTACAGATGGGTTTCCCCAATGAATATGCAAAGTCACCTCTTCTTCTCCAGAGATTCTCCCCACCCAAGGATGAAATCATTCTTTAGCACATCAAATATTCTTCCCAAATATAAGACAGAATACATAAAAATAGTGTGGTGGATGGCTCCATTGTGTTGATTACATGCCACGCTCTCAATAAAATTTTACCTTGAAAAGCTATGATCAGGGAGATGGTATCCGCTGGCCCATGGTAATCAAGTTTGTGTGTGCCTCTTTACAGCTAATAACTGGCGTTTGTAAAATCCAAGCCCCTGAATGAGGCTCTCGGGAGCTAGTGCTTCCCACCTTTGCACTCTATATGGTTCTGCATTCTAAGGTGCTTCCCACCCTCAATGGGAAGCTCTAAACTTGAGCCCAGCAGAGGAAGCTTGCCCAGGTGCCTGGTGGTAATTCACCCCATTAATACCAGAGTGCACCTGTTTTTCCCATGGGGTTTTATGAAAATCCTCTGCAAGGACATTTCCAGTGTCTTTTCTTCCTGGAAGCTGCAGTATGATGCTGGATGTAGGATCAGGTTGACCACAGTCTGGTCCCAGCTGAGGCATCAATTACCTGGGTCTTTCTGGGCAAATCTCTCATGCCTAAATTTTCTCATTTATAAGCTGAAGTTCCTTTCTAGTACAGTTTTGCCATGTCAAACAGGTACAATCGAAAGAACATTTAGGTTTTAAAGCCAGAAAGATGTGGATATGAGGCCTGACTGTACTAATCACCACTGAGTTCCTCTGACTGAGGACTAATTACCTAAACTCTGGGTCCTCAGTTTACCATCCATAAATATGAGTAGGTACAATAAAAGTTGCTCAGTGAACAAAGTCCCCATCTTTCTACCCACCAACCCACATTTTTCCACACATTTGTTACTAACTGAAAACATTTAATCTGTTTACTTAGCAAGTAAACACTCCTTAAGAGCAGGAATGCTACATGTCCTGTTCACTGCTGTTGTCACAGACATGAAGACAATGCCAGGAATATATCAGGTGCACATACAACATTCCTCAGACTCATATATGCATTAGCAAAATGTAGCTTACATATGTAGAATCTGTCCTAACGCCCCAAAGTCATTTCAGCGAATGAGAGTTCTTTATTAGTTACTCTGCTGCTACCAGTATTGGGCCCCAGGCTTTAAAAATCGCAGGAAATGATGGAATTGGTGTGCAATCTAACATGTGTGGGATTGGAACAAACCAAAGCACTAATGACAAACGCCCTTCTCATAAAGTTACTCACACCTTTTATAAACAAGTTTTAGGTCCTTCCAGTCAATAAAACTGCTCATCCTGTAGCCACGTGAGAGAACAATCTGAATAATTTCCCTGGTGATCTTTTTTCTTTCTCGGTCAGGGAGGGTTGTGTACCACTTCTGCAGCCGCAATTTCCCTTGTCGACTGAAGAGCAATATGAATTGTATCTGGAATAAATAAAGGACAGGGGAAACACGTGGTCAACCAATCGTTCTGCACAGACACAGAAGTTCAGTGTCTGGGTTTACATAGAAGTACAAAGTCTGAACCGATGAGAAAATATTTCTCAGCATGAGCACCATTCATCTGATAAACTATATTCAATCGACCAGAGGAAAAAAAAGGAAATGTGTACATCACAAATACATTGTACTTTTATTAGAGGAGGAAGATACTTGTTAAGTTTGAACTTCTTGTAGGAGTTGTAAATCCATCAAGGGATTAAAAATATATCAAAGAAACGGTAGCACACTGAAGAAAAGATCAAATTCTTCCTTTGCAGGCAAAAAAAGAGGGTAAGAATAATAGAAGGATTTGCTTTAAAAATTATATTGAAGCCTGGCACGGTGGCGCATGCCTGTTATCCCAGCACTTGGGAGGCTGAGGCAGGAGGATCGTTGAGAGAGCAAGATCAGCCTGGGCCACAAAGTGAACTCAAGGCCAGCCTGAACTGCATAGGAAGGCCCTATCTCAAAAAGACAATAAATAAATACATACATACATACATACATACATACATATTACATTGAAGCTGGGCTTGAAGGGCCATGCCTGTAATCCTAGTGCTCTGGCGGAGGTAGAAAAAACACAAAAGTTCATGCCCACTCTGGCCAATTTAGTGAGAACCTGTCTCAAAATAGTTTTTTAAAAAAGTTTTTAAGAAGGGCTAGGGATATAGCTCAATGTGAAAGCCTTGAGTTCAATCCCTGGTACTAAAACAAAACAAAACTATTTTCATATCACAAGTATAGAAATCAAATGAATGCAAAAATGAATAAAAAAAAGAATATAGCAAGGGGAGAGAGGGAGAAAGCATGGAAGGGTCCTAATCTGCCTCAAAGGTAAGCTCTTCATTCATTCTCCTGGTGGGCTGCTTGGCTGAGAACTTCAGGACCTCAACTACAACTGTCTTTGGCACCAAAGTGTTTAACCATTTAGAAGGTGTGGTGACTACACTAGGAACCAACGTGATTTTATTTTCAAGTAGGTTTCAAAATATTTTTGAAAGGACGATTCAGATTCAAATAAGTTCCAAAAGTTTCAATGAGTGGAAGATGCTGCCACATCTAGAAATTGACTTTGGTTCCCTGAAAGTAAGGTAGATTTTATTTTCAGCAATTGTCAAATGACCTGACCTTCATTTTATGAGAGATTTCCTTAACCCACAGTATTAGAAAGACAAGCTTTAAAGTCATCATTTATTTTATCAAATTTTCATTTTTTGACAAAGAAAATGCATTGTTACAGGTAACCGTGTCATGTAGAAAAAATATACACTGAAAGTAAAAAGGCACTACATTGAGCAACTTTTTACAAATATGATATTCAGGTCTTTGTTGAAGAGGTTTAGTTCTGAAGGTCATAACAGCCAGTACAATTCACTACATGGCAACATCTGAGAGTCAGATGAAACAAACTCTTCATCCAGAGAATTTGAAGTCTTCTTAACAGTAAGCTTTTGTCTTAGAAGGAAAGAACCAAGACATCACAGGTGATGAGAAACTAAGTTTAAAAGCCCCATTCATGCAGCAGCTTTGAGAAAACTCACCCTCAGTCTGCAATGTTAGATATCTGCTCACAGCACAGAATTTTCTTAAATACCCACTTCCCTATCACCATGGGAATAAAGAACTCAGTAATGGAACACAGGCACTATTTCCTAGGACTCATACTGAGAAGGGCACTTTTGCTTCCAAGAAGAGATGCCATGAGGATAAACATCATTCTAAAATTGAATGGCGATAAGATCAAAACCCTCAGGATCTTGAGATTAAGGTTCGCTCAGCTTGGATCACTGCCAAGAGATGAACCAATTGAATCCATCAACTTGTGAATGGTCAGATTCTTACTAGAGAAATGAAGCTCACACATTGGCTAGATGTTCACTTTCACTGCCTGTAAGAAATATTTTTGCATTCCCATCTAACCTAAATCTCTTCTGGTAAACTTTAAATCAATTTTTCTTGGTTTTATCCACAGGGCATACACAAAGAGACAGCATCACCATCCTTGAGTTGTGTCTATCACTGTCGTCCACATATTCAAAGCTTTTCTTTTTCTTTTTCTTCCAGAAGAAATAATCCAGGCTATATATTTTCTCCGTATTAGTTTTTATGGTTTGAATCTTAAATGCCCCCTCAAAAGCTTACATGTTGAATGTTTGGTCCACAGCAATGGCACCACTGGGAAAAGGAAGAATCTTTAGGAGGTGGGGCTGAGAGGGCAGAAGGAGCTCACTGGGAGCATGCCTCAAAGGGTACACTGGGACCCTAAGGGGTCTGTCAGTCTGTCTGTCTGTTGCTCTCTGTCTCTCTCTCTCTCTTTCTCCCCTCTCTCCACTCCTCTCTCCTCTCTCCTCTCTCCCTCTTTCCCTCCTCCCTCTGCTTCTGGTTACCATGACATGAGCAGCTTCCCTTCACCGTGCACTTCCCACAGACCGCTGACTCACACACTGGTTCTGTATTTGGCTCTCATAATTATCACTGTTGAGTGTCCTCTGGCATTCTCCGTAGGCTAAACATTTCTTTAAATCCAGATTGATGCTTGAAATGCTATTGAGGGAGATAGGAACCGTTGCTAAGGTTAATGGCAGCTTCCGTTCTACTTCTTCTATGTTGCAAACATATCTCAGGATCAGGCGCTTGTGTTAACACGGGTCAGTGATGTAGAATAATGAACGAACAGCAACGTTCACCCTAGCCATGAATTAAAAATGAAAAATCAGGACCTGATACATCATCAGTCTGTGTAAAATACACAATGTGCTCCATGGTCAAAAGAAGCAACAAATCAATTCAAAGTCATCCAATAACTTCATCGCCTAGGGCATGGTTGGAAAGATCCAGTCCTCCCAAGTTCTGCTTTGATAAGAACTCAGCTTGATTAGAGGACCCGTTCTCGCTCCAGACTTCCTGGTGCAGCTTGAGCAAACTGGCAGAATGAAATATAGCAATTCACAAGTTCATCACCTCTAGCAATTAACTGTATCCAATTTATCAGTTCAGTCATTCAGGGCACATTTGACTAATATGTTTCAAGAGGTTAATCAAATACTGTTTTTGATGAGCATTAGCTTAAGAGTAGGACAAAAAAAGCAAATGGGAGATTTTTTTCACAACTTGACTTCAAGTTAATGCCAAAAGTAAACTCCACCCGAATTCAGAAAACAACACCCCAACATTCTCCTGCAAAAACACAGCTGGGGAAAGGAAGCAACAGAATGACTGTCCCATAAAAGCTAACCACATGTGCACAGGTGGTTGATATTCTACATTTGGCTCAAACGTTTGCCTCAGGTGGGCAGAGGGCTCCATCATACCTCTCATCCTCCCAAGAGGAGCCATTTCTATCAGCCACCATTTTGAAGAGCCTGGTTGTCACAGCCACCATTTTGAGGAGTCTGGATGACTCCTCCAATCTAAAGATGTCAGATGACTCAAACATTCCTTATCTTCACAGTATCTACTGAAGCAATCCCCAGCCTCACTGGGCAGATCCCCAAATCCTTACCTTGGAACTTGAATTATACTGTTTTCTTGTTATGTTTCTAAAGCATGTCCAGAGGAACGTTGCTAGACCTTTGAGAGAAGCACAAAGCAGACTAGTACTATACTAGTTAGCACTTTCTTTCCAGTTGAAAATGTACAGCGAAGACTCCAAAAGCAGTTTTACTTCTTAAGGTCTGCAAATCTTCCTGCTCCTAGCCTGGATTTATTAAATGGATCAGGGTCCAAGAAAAGTGGGATCCAGGAGTTTGTCCCAGTCCCAAGACTGTCACATCACGAACACCACCTTCTCAGGACAAGCTGGCATTTCAGGACCTGAGCCATGAGTATAGCAAATACAGAGAACACATTCCTTTCCTCCTGTGGCAGGACCCCTCACCAAGGAATGTGCCAGGCCGCTCCCCAGAAATGTGGTGGGGGCCTTCTTAGTACAAAGAAAGACAATGGATACAATTAGTTCCTATGTACGCTAGTATAGATCTAGCACAGCCCTATAACATAGACTGCACCCAATGCGGCTATCATTAGTTAGTGTGTTACCATATAAGGGAGACAAAGACACAAGAACTGTATGAAAGGCAAAGCTCTGCCATGCTGGGGCCCAGCCTTTAGATGTGAATCCACTGAGTCAGTGCCAGCCCGAATAAACTCTGCTTCCTGGAAAGAGCCTCGGTGTCCATCTATGCAAGAATCCTGCTGCACTCCCATTCCATGAACCTGACAGTTCTCCTATAGTGGCCTGGATCATCTGACATATCTTAAACAACCGTATTCCTCTGACCTTCACCTCCTGGGTTCATTTTCCAATCTCTAGAGCTACTCTGCAAATCCCCAACCTGGACTGGATTGGTTCATCCATTTTGACCTTTTTTCCGTACCAACATACTCCTGGGAAAAATTATAGAGGACTTCACAGGTTGGTGCCACTGTAACTGTGTGACGGCCCAGCTCAGCTGAATCGCCAGTGGTGCTTGGACATTTCCCAGGCACCTCGGAATGTAAAGAATCTCCAGTCATCTGGCGTTCTCTTCTCAGTTGTTCCATATCACCACCTCACCCCTCACACTCCCTACCTGCATCCTTACTGCCGTGTCTGAGGAGAGAATGTAGCCATTGGTGTGTGGGGAGGTCCTTAGCTCATCCTATACCTGCACACCCAGCCCTGACCTGTTTTCTTCCTCTCTGGAGGAAAACAACACCTTCTTATGCCTTGGCTTTCAACCCTCGTCTGCCTCTCTGGGACAGAGTGGCTCCATCAATCCTACACTGCCAATCTAGGTCCATCTGCTTGTTATACACAGCTGCTGAGAACCCTGAATCTCTCATCTTTAAAACACAATGGCCCTCTCCAGAATTCTAGCTTTCCCACAAAGTAACTGGACAGTAATTCCACTCCTAAAACCTATCTTAAAATGTGCCTTAAGATGCAGACAAATATTTAA